AAAGCATACCACACGTGAGCACAATTTTGCCCTGGACCTTTGGTCTTGACAAAAATAATAAGTCACCACGGTTTTGGAAAATCGTTTTACAGACCTCGCGTGGTGTTATATAAGCGTACGTATCAGCTGATGCAGAAGGAATGTCCCAGCACGTAGCAAAATGTTTTACCATGCACCCCAAATGGGACAAAAGCACGTCCCAACTGTTTACAGACGCTTTCATCGTATGCAAGGCGTTGTACATACGCAACGCATTCTGTTGGGAGCGACTCGTGTTGATCCCATGTCGCTGTCATCCCGGATTTCCGAGGCGTTGACCAACTTACGCCACGTGTCTGTGTGGTTTCTGAAAGCGTTCAGTAATGCAGGTTCCACCTTAACTAAATCAAACGAAGTGCACGGGTTCATCAAAATTGGACGTTGTGCCAGCGATGGTACAGTGGTACTGCACCACCTGAACTTGCCCTTAATGCAGCGTTTCAGTAGACTAGTGTGATGAAAAGATTTTAACCGACCACCCATGACTTCTTTCTTTGGCAAGCACACCAATGATGATTCAAAGACAATGTAAAATCCGTCTATGTATGGCGAGATGGAGGTTCTTACTTTGATAACATCAGATGAAAGGAAAGCTACATGCCTCATTTGCAGGGAATGCCATCTAAAAATGCTTGCTCTACCGATCTCAGCAATCTGAATGCCCAGAAGCGCGAGAAGGATTGAAGCTGACGAAATATATTGCACGCACACTGTTCTTTTGTTAAAAGAGGAAGAGGTGTAAGCTTTGGTCATGGTAGTACATAATTTTTATGAACTTTGGGGCATTATCACTAGCATCGAACGGTAAAATACCACCTAATTTTTTGTGGCCGCTTGTTGTCATTCAGGCCTTGTTCATACAAATCTACAGCCATCGATTGGACGTAGGAGCGATCATTACCTAAAAATATGTGATTTACAGCTATGACATTGGAAGAAATTAAAAGGCCCAGTCGCTTCTGTAGCTAGGTGCAACGACCGAGTGAAGTGAATCAGCGTTGGCCAGAAGCACCAAAAACAAAAACCACCGTCGAACCAGAGGCTTCTGTTTCGCCTAATGAACCAGGCAAATAGTTAATTCCCTGTAGCCTAGCTTAATGAGCCAACTTTGAGCGGTATGAACCGAGATCAAATACGCAGCTCAATGTTTATAAACACATCCAAATGACACTCCACACGCGGCTTCCTCAGCTTTTTCAGCAGGCAGCCGAGCGCTGCCACTCCCCACTCGTCAGCAGCATGCACGAGCGCAGATACGCGCCGCCACGTTTTTCGCGATCCTTCGGTATCCAGTCGGGACTAGCCCGCCGAACCCGGCCCTTCCATTAGTCTCCCGACGCTGTGTATCAGTCTCCTTGATAGACCTGCTGCTTGGCTAAATCCCGCATGTTTTGTAATGCGCGACTGGGAAAAAATGACGACCATGGTTATTCTACGCGCAGCACGTAGCGAACACAACCACCTAGCGTCAGCAGAATTGTTGTGATTATAATCAGATAACCAAATCAGCATATTTAGCTCCTAATCAATGATCAGCGGGTTTGTTATAAAACATCTCACGGTGCTGAACTCAGACACGAGTTCGTATAACATGATTCCGGATTATAAGGTGTGAATACATCGTGCGCGAGAATATCTGTTGAAGCCATAGACCTCACACATGCAACCAGTTCATATGGCTCAGACATTGGTGCGATATATAACGGTATGTACGGACCTGCCCGAGCAGCATCCTCTTAAAAAGTGCCCCTCTTGTTTTAGTTGGATTTGTTAGCCCTGATTACTGCTCCCACATCCAAACAGATATTTATCCGAAATTAGATGAGAACGGCTAGCGTACTCAAATAAGCCAAGCATAGGAAACGAAGACCGAACCAAAGCCAAATTTGACAGCACGACATAAAAACGTTCACTGGTGCAGTGCATCCCAGAAACGACTCCGAATAACATAATTCCGACGTATTGTATGTGAGCATGCCCTGCGAAAATATTACTTGCGGCAATAGGTCTTACACGAAAGCACCATCTTAAAGCAGTGCACCTCTTGCATGTTCTGAATTATGAGACATGAATACTGATCTGACACTCCAGTGGTTGCGCTATTGACATTATTTGTGACAAGCTAACCTGGGGAAGGAAGTCAAGCAGCGGAAACCGAAGACCGAAACAAAACTAAATTTCATAACACGGTACGTGAACGGTTATTGATATAGTGCACTTCAGACACGAGTCCGGATAAGACGCCTCGGATTTATTGGGTGCAAGCACGTCGCGCGGGAACATTTGTGGAACAGTATCTGTCCATCCATGTGAAGAATATGTCAACAGGTTTCTTGGTTGTTTAGGTACGGTTTGTCAAATACCAGCCATATGAGGGACAAAATGAGGAAACTGTCGTCAGAGTCCCGCGTCACACAAGGGGAAACTACATCCACTCCACCACCTCTGATCCTCTTAAAATGCATGTAAGCCTCATGCTGTAAAAAGCATGTTACAGATGAATATCATGTGCCTTGTGTCATGGATATTATACGCACTGAACTGGGTGGACAAGTGATCAAAGCATGTTCAACGTTATTTGAGTGTCAATGCATCGTCTGAAAATCCGTGTGGTGCCAAAATAACGTGTCATATTATTCCTCTACATACATTTTAACCTGATGCTGTTAAAAGGCCTCAAATTTTAGAGGCGTATCCTCTGAGTGAAGTTTAGCCTACTTTTCACTTTTATAATTCAGAGACCTTCGTGCTCAACAGCATTGGGCTCTTGTTATGCGCTGCCTGTCCATGTCAAACACATATCAATAACTCTCTTGACTGCTAGGCTACGGCTCATCAAACATCATCCATGTGCGGTGCAAATCTTCGGTGTCAAGCATAACGCTTAGAGGAAAGCCACCTCCACTGGATCAGCTCTGCTCTCCTCATGCATGTAAACCTCATTATACAACGACCATGTTACAGATGCAAATTATATGCATCGTGTCATGGGCATGACGCGCACTGGTCTGGGTAGTCAAATGACCGACTTTGTTGTACCGTCAAAAGAAAATCGAGACGTTCGTCTGAGGTCTTATCAGCCTTCGCTATTGTTGTGTCTGCACAGGTTGCCTATCTACCGCAATGACTTGGTTATCAACATTGTCAAAAGCTACAGATGCACACTTAGGTTGTGCCGTCAAGTTTGATTGACTATTTTCAACATTTCAAGGATTTTAAACGAACATCTCACTACCTCTTTTGGTTACGGAGTCACGGCCCTTGAAACACGACCCACTTAATTTTCAAATCAATGGAGCGTTCTGAAGTACCACGCGTGATGTTCAAAAAGAACCTCCGCCCAACCGGTTTTAGCTTCCCTCAGTGTGCAGGTAAACCTCATTCTGAATTTGTTCAAGAGGTTAATGGTTTTAGGGCTTGGGGCTATTGGGGCTAGCAGGTTATGGCCCGTAAACATTAGTTAAGTGCATCTGAAAATATGTTACCTTCGCTGCACCTCGAAATTTGGAAAACTTTGAAAGACATTCGAATAACGAAAACCATGCAACTGAGGAAGAAAGAATAATATAAAACGTCATTTTGACCTCACGCGGACTTTTAGACCATTTACTGGCTACCCAATCGCGTTGACCATTTTTAATTGTTTGACTACTGTGACCAATGCACGTAATATCACATGATAGCTCCTCGGGAGTTAATTCATATACTTTGGGGAGCCTGAGAAGCCCCAATGTCATTAAAAGTTCCCTCAATGCATAAAACCAAAGGGGGAAAAGTGGAAAAAAGAAATGAATGCACAGCTATTCTCTGGACTATTGGTATGCTAGGTGATGCGTAGTACGCACATTAACATATGACGCTTAGTACGATTTTAATTTTGTATACAAAAGTAGGTATCCTGCAGGTATCTAATGTTTTTGCCGTGCTAAATCCTTCATGTTAAGCCAGTCCGCCAATGTTTGGAGAGTTTTTCCAAATGATGACGCCTGGTTTTGAAAAAAAAACAATGCATTGCAGTCTGCAACATGCGGCAGCTTGCAAGAGCATAGGGTGGCGTAGATAACAGTTCATGCATGTCTTTCCCATCAGCGAAAGTATACTTTTCGCATAGTTGTGGCTATGGCGGTTATACAGCACGATCAGACACAGCGGTAGCCATGAGTGATCCCTTACGAAGGATTACGGATATGTTTTGTTAATTGCAACTTCATTACAAGCTTTTCACTAAAAGCCAAGTCATCACAACTTGAAATGACAAGTCATTCCTCTCCGGGAAAACAGTTTTTAACGTAAGAAATGCTTCTCAAGGTTTTATTTTCATTTCAACATCGTGAACGCAAACTCAAGTAGCCGAAATCCGGGACGAAATCAGGTTTTGGGGGATGGCTTACGCCAACTTTTGCGGCTGCCCCCTCCCCCCCCTAACCCATTTGAGAAGCGACAGGTTGTTGTAGTTGGTAGTTGCGATGGTTTAGGAATATTAAGCAACTCATTATAACAACACTGGGACCATAAAAGTAAAACACTTTGGTGTCGACAATAAGCATCCCGCCCAGTATCTATTTGCTACTGTTTTTTGGGGGGGCTTACGGTTTTTAATGGAGCAGTTCCGCCTACCCTAGCTCGTCCTGTTTGCTACATGCTGTGCACAGACTGCTCACAGTGGTCATTTTCTCCTTCTGCAAAGGAGGGCATTACATGAAGAACACTTTTTATCTTGCGAACAATTTCCATACGAACACTTTCATTGCGTACTTTTTTGTCCACCGCCCATCTAATGTCACGTAAGGGACATCTACGAGCAAAGCAGCATAGTATGCCTAAAATGTGCGAGGATAGATGGCGCTGTAGAAAGTGACTACGTGTGCCAGGACGTTCGCCGCGATGTTGTCGTCACTGGTCACGTGACCCCTACGTGGAGGCTGCCCGTGAACACCACTGGCCACGGCCGCCGACCCATTTACCGTTGGAGGCTGTCGCGGGCGCGTCAGCTGTTGCGGCGTGCGGAGTCGGGTGCAGGAGCTGTGCTAGTGGGCGGCAATAGTTGTTGTTTCAAGTACAAATTGATCTCGATATTGTATGGTGTAGAGAGACAACAACGACAAGATGGGGTGTAAGTATATATTACTTGTATTGCTACGTTTAACTTACTGCCGTACGCGCAAAGGGTGGGATGTAGAGTGAGGGGCCGGTTGCAATCCAACCACCTATCTGGGCACATAGCCATTGGCAGATGTCTCCAAAGAGCCTTGCAAACCTCGTGGTTTTGTCACATTTTGGGGATTGTTCAAAGTGTTTCATCAATGCGTCAATGTCCTGAAATAGTAAAGTGTTAGCAGATGTCATGCCGAAAGAATGAAATCACGTAAAGCCTTGTCATGCTGAAAGAATACAATCATGTAAAGCATTGCCTCACATCAGACACGTGCTCTGCCTTATGAACGTCCTATCTTCCATAACATGGCATTGCCTTATGCTGTTCTTGAGTAGATGCATTTTTTTCATCCAGATGGGCCAGAGTCTGGGCTTTACCTGCAAGCCCTAGAGTCTGGGCTCCAGGGCTTGCAGGGAAATAATGTGGTTAAAGATTGGTTATTTTACTTGTGTAGCAATCTAAGATTACATATTTGAAATAAATTAACTTCATTTTTCTGAGGGCATCAACTGCTTGTGTATGGTAACATGGAAGCAGCATAGAAACATCATACAGAGTATGAACACCCTTAAGGGTGTGCCAGATGGAGACTCACATGTAAATTCGCCTTAATCTGTCAATCAGGTGCAAGGCCGAGGTGTTCTCTTAAGCATGGTAAGATCAGTTACTTCTGTCCCTTTTGGCCTTTCATATGTGCCCAGTATGAGTAGGCTGTGACATGCACCACTGATGCACTAAGTTTTGAGAATCAACCACTTTGCTGTTGCATTTGACAGATGTCAAATCTGTTCTTATTGGTGACCAAATAGTACATGTAGTCAAGGCAGCATTGAACCTGTGTACTGACACACAATTTTGCCATTTCAGTCAAGTTCCTGGAGATCATCAAGCCCTTCTGTGGCCTGCTACCAGAAATTGCAAAGCCTGAGCGTAAAATTCAGTTCCGTGAGAAGGTGCTATGGACAGCTGTCACTCTCTTCATCTTCCTTGTATGCTGCCAGGTAAGTGTGTGGGTGTAATTATTTGTGTGCTATGAATGCCATCCATATGCCTTACCTTTGTCCATATTATTTTAGTATTTTCATATTTTTCAGTATCCCAACTGTTATTCTTAAATGCAAATAAAAGTCAAACATGATGTATTGGGTAGCTGTATGTATGATGGTGGTTCTTGGTGAAGCCTGTAGATAGTTGTGGCTCTCTGTGCACACTGCAAGCTATAGACTGACCTGGGTGTGTGTGTTTTGAGATGCACGTGGATGCAATATTTGACCACCCACAATATATGTCCACCATTTGCTGGGTTGGTTGGATCGTCAGCCTTGTAATCCACTTCTGCCTTCTGATCCACTAGCCCCCTGGGTGGGTGGGTCTGAGTCAACACTGGATATTTGTGGGCTATCCCTGCTGGCTGTGACAGCAGCTGCTCTAAAGGTCAGGTGATGTCAAGGGGCAGGATGGACTGGGCCCAGCATTGCAACATGTTAAACTTTTGCTACTACATTCTGCCATTGAATTGGAATTGTGCAATGGATGTCAGGAGCTAGGGCAATCAACAAGTGACTTATGCAATAAGCACTGCATAGCCTGAGCTCCAATTCCAGAAATCATTATGTTGAAAACACTGGAATGCATTGTTTTTTATATGACCCTTGATTTTGACATCCTAAAATCTCAAATAATCATCACCATCATGAGCTGCAGTTTCCTTGTATCACAGGAAATGACAAGTACAGATAAACAGGCTGCATCTGTCCTCCAGGCAGTGCATTAAAAAACTGGTATTCACATAGTCAGCTGCTTTAGATTGCAGGCCAATGATACATCATCCACCAAATCCAATCAGACATTTAATCAATGCAAAATTGTATTGAATTTCCCCTCACAAAACTTTGTTTCCTTAAACTGTGAGTCAAAGTGGTACATATTGACACCAGATGGTCGAAGCACTAAGCAGAATCCCTTACTTCACAGGTCAGCAGTAATGCAGATCCTGTGGTGCATCCCTTCCATCTGTCTATTGAGTGATGATTATCAACTGGGATGTCATGCACCACCTGTAATGGGATGTTGCTACACTGACAAGTTATTGATGTTTGCTTCATTTAACTGAACATGGAGTTTACTCAGGGTTTGTCAAATTTTGCCCAAACTCCTGCAAGGTTTTGACTGGTTTCTGCAAAATTGGTCAATGTCCTTTGTAGACCTCCTGGTGCAGGGTAAAGGACCTTTTGCCCCTCCTGCCCTGATTGCATGTCTGTACCAATCCTGATTTCTTAATCTGTGCATGGCAACTGGCAGGCAGTCCTATATCATACCCCAAGATTCCACAGTGCACAGGTCAGCTCACTTGTATTGCCATCCTCCGAGACCTACGTCCATCACGAGCACCAGTGCTGCTGGACCTGCTCTGCACCTGCTCTGACGTCACTACCTCCGTGCTGCAGATCCCCCTGTTCGGCATCATGTCGTCGGACTCTGCCGACCCGTTCTACTGGATCCGCGTGATCCTGGCCAGTAACCGCGGCACGCTCATGGAGCTGGGCATCTCGCCCATCGTCACGTCCGGCCTCATCATGCAGCTGCTGGCCGGCGCCAAGATCATCGAGGTCGGCGACTCGCCCAAGGACCGCGCCCTCTTTAACGGCGCCCAGAAACGTGCGTACTGACTGCTGCCGGACAAGGCGCGCCGTCGGTAGAGGGCGCGGTGATGGACCTTTGTGTAGTCGCTGGTTTGGTTGACATTCAACATCCACGTGCCTCATCTTGGAAGTGGTTAGATAAGAAGCTTCTCCAAACTTAGCATCACTTTCTATTTTGGTGAAAAGAAGGTCATTTGAGCATTAAGAATTACCTCCTATTCCAAGAGAAACTGAGACTTCCTGAAAAGCCAAGGGTGCCATTCTCTGCAAAACCATTGCATGTCAGGGTCGACTTGTACAAGCTGCGCGCATGACCTATTGTGTTGATTTTGTTTTCATCTCACTTTAAAACCAGTCATGTTGACGAAATTCTCTCGAAACATGTACTTGAGTGGGTTTCACTTTCTCCATACGTGGTCCTACGCTGCTGCCACCTATAGTAATCTTTACTCATCTCAGACCGTTCAGCCCGCCGCGGGGCGCCGCTGTTCACGTCGCTGCGGCCGGCTGTGAGTTCCGCCTAGGACGTGCTGTGGCGAGTGGCTATCTAACCTGGCGAGCGACCCCGTGCCGCGGTCCCTCTGACCGCCGGATCTGGTGAATGACACGAGTGACACCGCACCATGGTCCGTCTGGCCAGCTGACCTAGATTGTGGCTTGAGTGACCCTGCGTCTCAGTCCGTCTGACGCCCCGCCCGCCCGGCAGTGTTCGGCATGGTGATCACGGTCGGCCAGGCGATCGTGTACGTGCTGACGGGCATGTACGGCGACCCGTACGACATCGGCGCCGGCGTCTGCCTGCTCATCATCCTGCAACTGTTCGTGGCCGGCCTCATCGTCCTCCTGCTGGACGAGCTGCTGCAGAAGGGATACGGCCTCGGCTCGGGCATCACGCTCTTCATCGCCACCAACATCTGCGAGACGATCGTGTGGAAGTCGCTCAGCCCGACCACGGTCAACACGGGTGAGTGAAGCGACGCGGCCCTCGGCGCTGTGCGCCCTGCGGGCCTGCGGCTCAGCCCAGCCGGAGGCGTGGCCGTGGGGTGGAGGCGCCATTAAGTACAGGCTATCTGGACGGGACCCTTGTCGTCAGGGGTGGTTAGTGCTGCGGGGTTGTAGTTGCGCGACCAATAGGAGGAACACCTTTGCTTACACGAACGTGTTTGAATCGTAGGCAGTCATTACACTCCCCCCCCCCCCCCACACACGCACACATGCCTTGCTCGGACGCCTGCTCCTCATCTTACCGCCAGTCGTCTTCCACGTCACTGTTCAATAAATACTTCCCAGCATAGCGTTCTTCGCGCCATCTGACGGTCCTTATCGACCTTCCACAGGTCGTGGCACTGAGTTTGAGGGCGCTGTGATCGCGCTCTTCCACCTGCTGGCCACGCGTCAGGACAAGGTGCGCGCCCTGCGCGAGGCCTTCTACCGCCAGAACCTGCCCAACCTCATGAACCTCATGTCTACGGTGCTTATTTTCGCCGTCGTCATCTACTTCCAGGTGAGACACACTGCTTGAGAGTGATGCGATGCGTCTCATACCGCTGTCGCCGTTTTGTTGTGGGGCACGTCGGATTTCATGACTGGAGTGTTGTGATTCCGCAAATGGTTTGCTGGCAGTGGTTTTTGAATTTGCGTTTGATTACATTGCATTTGTATTGCATTGTGGTGGTCCCTTTAAGAGCCCTTTTGCCAGTTGAAACATTAGAGCTCATGGTACCATCTGAATGCTCGGTTTCTGAAGCGCGATCGCCAACGAATCGCTCACCCGGGTAACGCGCAGGCTATCTCACAATTGTGGCGTCGCTGCGCGCTACTTCTTGTCACCCCACGATGCCCCCGCCGTACGTCATCCGTATCCCGCTGTCATGTTACTGACACTGCCATGACACCCCTTTGACACCTGTGGTTGGCTGCAGGGCTTCCGCGTGGACCTGCCCATCAAGTCGGCCCGCTACCGCGGTCAGTACAGCAGCTACCCAATCAAGCTGTTCTACACGTCCAACATCCCCATCATCCTGCAGTCGGCGCTCGTCTCCAATCTTTACATCATTTCGCAGGTATGTTACGGTAGGACTTGCAGGCACATGGCTGCGGCCCTTGGGTGAATCTTGTGCTCCACCTTACTACCGTATGTTGAATGAGGGCCTCTTGACGATAGAAACACGATTGATGACTTATGATACATGCACTGCATTCTGTTGAGTGTCTCTGCAGGACTCCGTGCTGTGTAGCTTCGTCATCTCGGCTGTTACGTCGCGCGTCGCGCGTGTCTCGGCCGTTACGCCAGTGTCCGCCTTGGGAGTTCGGCTGGCTGTTCTGTGGAAACGCGCGTCTGAATGGTGACATCCGCGTGTTGATCTGTCGCGCTGGGTTCTGCTACCCGTGTGCCGCACGTGTCCGTTCGGAGTGACGTGGCCAGCGGACTCGCCGTGTCCCTCCCCCTCCTCGGTACCACGCGCGAACCTAACCGGCCGCGCCTTCGCAGATGCTGGCGGTTAAGTTCCACGGCAACTTCTTCGTGAACCTGCTGGGCGTGTGGGGTGACGTGGGTGGCGGCGGCCCGGCGCGCTCTTACCCGATCGGCGGCCTCTGCTACTACTTCTCACCGCCCGAGTCGCTCGGCCACATCGCCGAGGACCCCGTGCACGCCCTGATGTACGTCATCTTCATGCTCGGCTCGTGCGCCTTCTTCAGCAAGACGTGGATCGACGTGTCCGGCTCGTCGGCCAAGGACGTGGCCAAGCAGCTGCGTGAGCAGCAGATGGTGATGCGTGGTCACCGCGAGAAGTCGATGATCCACGAGCTGAACCGTTACATCCCGACGGCGGCGGCGTTCGGCGGCCTCTGCATCGGTGCGCTCTCCGTCATCGCCGACTTCATGGGCGCCATCGGCTCCGGCACTGGCATCCTGCTGGCAGTCACCATCATCTACCAGTACTTCGAGATCTTCGTCAAGGAGCAGAGTGAGATGGGCGGCATGAGCACACTGCTCTTCTGAGCGTGAGGAAGGATGAGGCGACGGCGCTCGGCCACGTGCCTCGCGGGGTCACGACGTCTGGACAATTATTTTGTACGATCGTGACGCGTTAGATGTTTAAATATACAGGTGCGGAGGTGATTGTGTGTTGCGAGCGGCGTGTGGTGTCGCGTGGAATGCTTTCGGTGGGCTGGTACTTCCGGGTATCTTGTTCGTTGTTCAATAGTGGAACACCAGCGTGCCTACTGCTTCGTGTATGCTAGCCTCCGGCCGTGGTGAGACGCTTGAGAACTGAGGAGTGCAAGGAGTGAGGAGTGCAAGGCCTGGGGTTTTGTTTCGCGGCCAGGTGAAAACTTCGAAATCGTCACAGCCGCTTGGTCACGATGCGTGTGCGCTGTGGAACGCTCCCAACACCTCACCACGCTCGTGACAAACTGAGGGGTTATTTGGATGCGGCATCTTAGATTTCCTGGAATCAGAACATCGGCGATTCCCATTCTGGCAGCTCATTCGCCTGATTCTGAAGTATCTGTCCCCGAAATTCGGGTTTCTTTTCACTTCCAGTAGGAAGGAATGGTCACCGATCTATCGCATACACACACTGAAAGCACCAGTGTCTCCGTTAGATTCCACGCATACCTAACCCTTGTTGCTTAGTATGCTGTCGAGGCCTGCTGTGATCTGTCGTTGACGCTCGGTACTTGGTGCCGGTCCGCAACTTTCCATGTTTACAGGTTCGGGTCCAGCACTGTACTTCGCCATTCTTTCGCATAAATGTTCCGTCTTTCTAATCATGGAACCATAACATTATTTATTGTTCGACTTCAGAGTTGATCGAAAAATACACACAAATAGCTCGCGAGCCCGTATGTTCTGCCAGTATTATTCCCCTAGGGGGCAGTCGAGCCGCTTCAGAAAATGACATTTGCATCGTTCAATCCTGGCATTTTGTTTTCAATTCGTTCACCTCGGAAAAAGATGAGCTAATCAGACACTGCACGCACTGATGTGAACGGCGTGATAGGTGGTGCTTACACGCCTGCGATGGAACTTCAGCATCGAAACATGCGATGCTGTGGTGGAACTGCGGTCCGGGTATGCATTTTCACGATCGTTGAATAAGCAGGTCCCATGTCAGCTTACCTCTGCGGCGTATGGCCGTATTCTCTTGAATCGCCAATTCTTCTGCTCGCTAACAGGCGAAGGTACAGCACAAAACACGCGGAACGCGTCGGTGCACGCGCGCAGAAATGCGTCACAAGATCACAAAAGTTTGACGTGCGCGACAATATATCGTTGGATACAAGTCAGCCGATAGTGTGGAAGTGTAACTAGGTTGTTACTATTTGTGTGCGATAGGGGGTGCGGTGCGCAAAGGCACTCTGCAGGGAGGTTGGCTAACGTAGGCTAGTGCGGTGGCGCAGGCAGGGAGGGGGTGGGCACAGGGGGCACGTGCCCCCACTTGAGTTCCGAGGGGCCAAATGCCCCTCGGGACTGACGATTAAGGGCCCGAAACGCCTGCCGGAGATCGTATTCAGGGTCCTGCTCGTAAGGCCCGACACACAAGTGAGAATTGAAGCTTATTGCCCCAGCAGGGGCAAAGCCGGGGCCAGCAATTTACATTGGTGAGGACCCCAGTGTCTTTAAGGGTGCCCAAAGTGCCCAACAGGGGCCTCTGTGTCGGCAAGGGCCCAGTCGGCCAGAGGCAGCGTTCGAAAAGACCGAAGAGAGCCTGTAAGGTCCATTTGGACAGGCGATCAAGCACCAGATCGGAAAGTATTAGGATGCGAAGAGCTGGCCGGAATCTTCTTCAGGGGCCCGACCTGTGAGGACGAACCCTCAGATGACATTCAGGGGATCCTTTGCGACAATGGGGAACCCACTAAGTCGATGAGAGGCATATATGTCGGTCAGGCACCGCCTGCACCGCACGAGTGGCTCCATGTTGGTATGGGCCTGGGGGTCTGCTTTCCAAGCAGCAACAAATCCGGGACCAGCTACACTGTTCGGGGCCCCTGTATCTGTCAGGGCCCCACAGTGCCTCACAGGGTTTCCTATGTCGGCCAGTGGCCCAGTTCGTCAGCAGCGGTGTTCGCGGGGGTCGAAAGAGGGGCCCGAAGTGCCGCTCGGGACCAAAGATCAAGGGCCCGATTGAAAGACTGAGGAGCCAAAGGGGTGGCTGTAGGTGACATTAAGGACCCCACCCGTAGGGTTGTGATCTCAAATATCAGTTAGAGGGCCCCTTCCACCGATTGGGAACGTTGAGAGAGAGAGAGCATTCCTCTGTTTCGACCAGACATCACGAACACCGAACATCAGTCTAAGCTCTGGGAGCCTATTTCCAAAGCAGGGACACGACCAGGCCCGCGATTTACATTGGTCGGGTCCCTGCAACAATGTGAGGCTCCTGTGTCGCTCAGGGTTCCACAGTGACGAACAGGGTATTCTATAGAAGTTTTATATATAGGTAGGTATTGTCAATAAGGGTCCTCGAGCCGGCCAGCCGAGCATTTGCTGAACGGGAAAGGGAGCGGGAGCCGAATGGCAGAGGGTATCTTGCGATGGTCGGGGCATTCTGACAGTTGAAGGAAGCATGGGCGTAGGAGCCGCGGGGCCAGGTGGGTCATGCCCCCCTTTTTCAAGGTGTGGGGGGGGGCAGCGATGCAACCTGCCCCCCACGTTTCAGATTAAGGTTGCATTTGGCTTACTTTTGCACTATATGAAACATACATGCCGACTTACCGAGTTCACCAGCCATCCCCTTAGGATGCGTCATCCTTTCTGTTTGCTCATTGGTCATCGCTTAGTGTTACAGCCGCAAGGCCGACGTCGCACGGCCTGGAGAATGCAACGCCGGGCGTCGAGGCCGTTATTGTTATGACTTGCGAGCACGCATGTTCAACACCGTATTACGTTATTCTCTTATCAGTAATCAGCCCTGACAGGATTTTGGGCATTTTATGAAGAGTACGGATTAGCCATGTTAATGCAAATTAGGAACCCCATGTCATCTACAATGTACAATCAGGGAGAGCTCAATATCTGAAGAACACAGAAAATTACGGAAATGGAGTCTATGTGACAACCATCGGACTACCTGCGGTGATCAGGGGTGTTGTTGCGTCAATGAGGGGTTCTGTGCTGATCCGGGGCCAACTGTACGGGTCAGAGGGCCTCCCGTGTCAGGGATGGGAACAATGTGACATATTATATCCTTCTAATGGCCTCCGAGTCAACCAGGAGAACCCGCCCCGTGCCACCAGAATGATAGCCAGAAGACTCTTCGCGATGGGACGGAATGACCCTCTAGCCCTTGACGGGAAACGGTAATATACCCCTGGTGGTCTACTCAAGAGGCCCCTTGCCCGGAAGGAAATAAGGGGTCTCATTATTGTTGAGTAGAGTGGGGCACTAATTATTGTTGAATAGCGCGGATCGAAATGAATTTAAAATAATAGCAAGGTTATGCCACATTTGCCTGAGAGCGCTCATTTTTTCGGAATGTATTATTGAAACAAATAACATCAAAAGTCTTGGACATGCCCGCCCGCAACCTCGTGAGGAAGGAAAAGGATGGTCTGGGCTGCAACTTCCGTAAAACCGAAAAGTTACGGCCACTGCAAGTGCCACCAAACAGCGGGCGCCGGGTTAATCGGTCATCTGGACAAATAAACAGCTGTGAAAACACGAAAAATAGATGTTTTAAGCTCACTCTTCCAGTTCAACCTCCTGATTCCAGCCCCACTTGTACTCTAGGGGCCAATCCGTTCTTTTCATCAGTCTAAAAATTGCACACGAGAAATATGTGCTCAGAATGCCCCCTCAATACAAGATCTGATGTCATCAAGCGTTGAAGGATGCTTCTTTCACAAGCCTCGTTAGTTTCGTCCATCCGTTGGCCACAACTTAATATGAGCTGCTTCGCCGACGCTGCGCGGCCAACGGAGAGTGCAACGCCAGGGGTCGAGGCTTGCTTTCTAAAATTTTCGAGTGCGCAAGCTCAAAATTGCGTCACATAATTTGTGTTACTAGTTAAGTGTTTAAGGGTAAACACGTAGATAAATTGTGTCACTAATCGATTCTGACTAAATGGCGAACATTTTTAGACAAACATGGCTTGGCCATGTCAATAGGGGACAGGCGGGAGAATTGGGACACTTTTGCAACTTCAACTTTGATGAGTCATTGCAGCAAAAGTATGAAAGCTAGGTAACATTGCACCATACTTATAAATGAATTGGGTATTCATTTACATCATACTAATAAGTAAGTTTTACTTTGTGGTAGGATACGACTCGCGTGGATCAAAAACAAAGACCTTCATTTACAGGAGAATCGGGACGCACGCAGGAGAATCGGGACAGACTTGAGTATGAATTGGGACATACTAAGTAGCACTGGGACAAAATTTCTACTTGGCTACATGCTCTATAATTAACTTGCAAATGATAAAATGAGTGCACGGCATTGCCATCCACTTGCGTTCAGGAGCTTGTCAATGGCTGGGCAACGTTTCCTTCCGCTGAAAATGGTAGCATATCAGATTCATTTATCTCGTGTTAAAACTGAGACACAACATTTTAGAACGTGAATTTTCCACCTCCAAATAACCATTCCGTTTTTGGCAGAAGAACCCCGACAACGGGAAGGTATTTCTAACATAAGATCCGGCTAGTAGTAATGCCGGTAGTCTACGCAACAGCCAGACGACACCGCCACACAACCTGCAGTCGTAATAACCACGTTAAATCATCACAGCCAATGCGCTACTTGCGGCATAGCGGATCATATGACTATCAACCTTGGCGGTCTAGGCACATACTAGGCAACGACAACGGTCGAAAACTTCCTACACATCGCATAATCACGTACCAGCACAGCCAAAGCGATATTTGTAGCACAGCAGATCGTAGGGCTCACAGTCTCGGCAGTCTAAGCACCAAACAGGCAAAGCAACTGTCACAAAACTTCCTGAACATCGTGCTACTCACGTTGAATCTGCGCAGCCAACGCGTTGATGGCAACACAGCGGATCACATGGCTAACAATATCGGTACCTATCCTAGGCACCATCTAACAACGTAAACGGTCACAAAGCTTCCTACACATCGTACTAATCACGTTAAATCAGCACAGCCAATGCGATGCCTGCGACACGGCGGGCATATCGGATCACAGCGGATGAGCGGACCATCAGTCTCGGCAGACGTCGCATGCAAACTGTGCCTGCCAGGTTGTTGCGTCGGTACACGGCAAGCACGCCCGCTCTTTGCATATGGTACACTGGATCCACGATTCACAGCTGAGCCTATGCTGCATCCCACATTACAGACACGACGCTTTATCGTCAGCCTTTGGCAAGTCCTTTGCACCTGCCAGCTTTCTCTTCCCACGTTTCGTGTTAGCGGTGCTGCTCTTGGCATCGAGCGGTCGCTTTGACACACGTTCGTGTTTGGCTTGCGATTTTCGGGTCTTCTTCTTCTCTTCCTCTTTTTTTTCTTTGCAGCTCTGGTGTACCCGTAGCTATCATGGTCTTTCCTTTTTTCCGCCCTTGACGACTCGGCCCCACTTTGGGTCCTGCCTTAAAAGATGGAGGATCAGGAACTGTAAGGATACGGTTATGGAACATAGGCATAGGCATTGGACAACATGACTCACTGGAATACAAAATAATCTTTGTTACCTTTGATTAGCTTTGGGATACAAAATTATCCCTTAAAAAACTATATTTTGGCGGAATTACAACATAACTAACGAACATGGGAAAGGTGGAAATAAAAGGAAATTAATGATCACGAAAGTGTAAGACAGCTCAATAATTAACAATGTTTTCTTAATGATCGTATGGGCGATCTGGGGTCT